TGTATAACTTAAGTATGATTATCCTGCTAAGTTAGATCTACTTATCATGATTGAAGAAAGTTCTGGGTTAAGTAGAGAAATGAGACTTACTTCACTTAGACTAGCCTAGACGGACATTCCACTTCCACAATCCACAAACGTTGTACGTACACACACATGTACCGATACGTCAAGGTGAAGTAGGCCTACAACACAAGAAGACAAGGTGAAAAAATAACCCAATAACAACTTTAAGGTTGTAAACAAACCAAGTGCAATATAATAAGTTAAAAATGTTTCACAAGTGGTGTAGGTGTAAGTTAGTGAGTCAGTGAGTCCACCCAAAAAAATTTTGCCTCTCACTAGCCTAGTCCACTAGTCACTAGACTAAGTTAGTTCTAAGTAATAGGCCAGGCCTAGCCTAAGCCTATTATTATTAGTCCTTTCCTTACCTTCTTAGTTAAGTTAGTACGTTTGTAGGATTGTAGACTTGATTAATATCAAATTATCTATTCAATTCAAATAGTTTCCTTTCCTCAACCATAGAGCCACACAAAATGTTCAATGTTCACAGTTCACGCCTCACGGTTCACGTTCACGTTACCGTTACACTAAAAAAAATTGACATGACAACATGGAGGAAGTGTATGGCAAAATTATTATACATACAATAGCAGGCACTAGGCGCCAGCCAGCGGTGAGATTCAAAGATTATCCTGTAGATGTCCAATGCAGTTTTCTGCTTGCAATATTGAGCGGTTCAATCATATTAATCATAGAGGCTATAGGGCATTTGTTTTATATATGATATTAATCAAATAATTTTGGGAAATCTATCTACGAGTTGATGGTTTTCAATAGGCTCGGATATTGTATCCAAAATCACTATGTTACACAAGCATTTTTGAAATTGTCTCGTCATTTAATCAATTATAAAAAAAATAAAAAATATATGGGTGTAACATCGTCAATGGTAACAAATAAACAACCCAGTCACCTATAACCTACACTTTAACTTACCCTACTTAAGCTAACCTACCTTCAAAGGACAGTCATGAATCCTCATAAAGCCCGGCCTGGCTTGCCCATAATGCATTTTCTCTTATGAAAACGATTCATGAAATCATACAGCATGTTTAGTTAGGTTTTGTTAGTCTAGAACAGTTTATAGCAAATTTCCCCTATAGGGAATAAGCTATTACCGTAGTACTCATGGTAAGACCTGGACCCGGGACCAATTTTCTTTTTCGTTTTGATGTCCCTAGATACCAAAAACACCATATCCGTTCAAATTCATATATATATTTATAGGTGTCCGTTAGCGCAATAACTCGAGCAAAAATCATCATATTTTGATGAAATTTGGTACAAACGTGTAAACCTACGTTTATTCGAACGAGTTCGCGAACCAGCATGATCGGATTATGGGAACGGTTTTATCGGTTTATGTGGGGTTTTATGGGGAAAAAAATAGGTTTTTCCCATTTTTCCCCTAAAAATATAAAATTTAGCATTTTCTTTCCCAACCATTTTGTAGAGCTTAAAAAAAATTATTTGAAGCGTTATTATGCGCCTAATGGTTACGGAGAAAATTCCAAAAAACTGTAAATTTAAAATTCCCATGTTATTCTTATAGAGAATAAGTAAACTGTTGTACAGTAGTTTGCTTGTTTATGATAATATTTTGATCAAATTTGGGAAATGCATTATTAATTTTGGGGGTATTGAATAGTTTTGATATGTTAGCTTTTTGTTTACAAATTTGAACTGATCAACAAACATTTGGATTAGGATTTTAATAGGTTTTAAAAACTAAGAGAAATATGTACTATGTAGGGAGTTTTAAAAAATTTTCTGACTCAATGTTTACACTTTTATTTGAGTTTTAATTTAATTTGCAAACTAAATTTCAATTATACCTAATTTTATTCTGTCCAGAGGTAACTAATACCTAATTCTTATATTTTCTCTATAATCTACTTCACATTCGCTTTTTTACATTTATTTACAGAAACCTCCTTAGAAGTTGTGTTTTTTAAACACTGCTTTAATTTCACTATGGAGAGTATCACAAAACTAAGCTGCACAAAATTCACTTTTGTTTTAAATCAATTAAATATCTGTAACGTTTCTGTAATGTTTCTTTACTCAATATTTTAATGATGTTGTAAATTAATACAAATACGTGCACGTTTTGAACTATGGAACGAGTTAAAATAATAACTGTTATGTATTATGTTGTTAAACTATATTTAAATTGATGAAATTTGTTCCCTGATTAACAATAATAGTGGTTGGCTTTGTAACAAAAGGTAATACAAGTTTTCCATTAGTTTATTTTTGCTTATTAATTTGATATATACCTACACACTGATCTGCATGTAAAGATTGAACTTTAAAAAAAAACTCAGTAGTATAGGGTAAAACATATAAATTATATGTGAAATCAATATAAACGGTGTTTTGCTTTACTACAGTGCCTATGTTGACCATTTACCATTTACCATCGAAGTCTTCGCCGCAGTCCTTGGAGACCGGGGAATTGTCAAATCTTTTCATCTTTCTTCTTGCTTGCTTCTTAGTGTTGTAGTGTGGGTGAATGTATGATTTGTTGTGCTTGATGTGATTATTTTCCCTTCTTTACTTTATATGTACGTGTTTCAACGAAATAAATGTTTAAGTAAGCTTATCATTTGAAAATTTAATCGTAAGGGGACATTATTTCCATATGCATCAGCGCATCATTTGTAGATAGCCTTATAAGTTAGCTTAGCCTTAAAGACAGATATTTTTTCAAACTAAGAGTTTCTATGTTCCTGAGACCAAAGGGTGAATGTGTAACTATTATAAACAACAGGTTTAAAGATCACAGTTTTCGCTCCAGTGTCATCTCCGTTGGAAAGCACGGGTACAGCAGCTAGTACTTAATAATTTGTCCATATCAAATATAGTTACATATCAGAAGCTATATACTTTTTACCTTATTTGACAAACAGAGAACCTAGAAATTCGTATGTATTACACTTTGAGCCAACAACACCACATAGAAGCTTGTATTATAAGCTGAATGTGAATGCCAATGCAAGATTAAGATTAGGGTGGAATAGAATGAGAAGATATGCGTAGTTTTGTTTCCGACTGCGATAGTGATAAGCTATTTTAAGCTAAGGTCATTTACTAAAAGCCCACTTTTGAAGGCCAGCTGGGCCCAGTTTCGAACCGCTATAAGCACAGAACGTCATTTGTTTATGTTAAGGAATAAGCATCCATACCGGGTATTTTCTATTATAGTATCCGTGGTGCAGACTATAGAGTTATGCCGTATGTGCTGTAATTTTTAACTATTTTGAAATGACATTTTGCATAAGCTATTGCATTTGCTCATGATCTAACAAAACCGTCAACCTTTTTATTTAGACAAGAACTTAACCACTGCGCTTTCCAGCAGTGTGGTTTGAGTACGAGGAGACATAAAGAACTTAAGAGTCCTTAATGGAGGCTAGCGGCCATCTTGGAAAATTTCAAACAGCTGCTGAAGAGCTATTTACTCGTATCGTTCAAAAATATTTTTTTAAACACCAAAGTGATTATAATTTAAATATTTAGTATACTGTGGTATTAGAAATGTTCTTTGTAGTTTTAAATTGTTCTCTGAAGAGTTATTTGACCATCTCAAAACATTTGTTCAAACACCAGAGTGATATTAATTTAAATATCTAGTATACTGTGAAATTTGAAATTTTCTTTGTGGTTCTTTAATTGTTTTACGGACTAAAACGTCTAGGCTACAAGGACTCTTATACTGTGTGCCCGGGTCTCCAAAAGTTAACCTTCATATTATGCACTAGCCATTTCTATACACATCAGGATTAAAGGCCCAATAATTAGGGGCAGCTGGGCCCAGTTTCTAACCATGAAGCTATGTGAGCTATTGAATTTTCTCACGATCGAAACAGCAACATTTTTATCATCAGACGAGAACTGTAATGACTCAGTTACCCAGGCGTGGTTTGTGAACAAAAATACATTTATAACGTGAAGTTTGTGCGTGACTTCAAAGTTGCTTAAAAGGCCCCCTCCCCCATAAACTTGAAGTAGCGGGGGAGGCCATTCAAAAGCTCTCGCCTTCTCCCTCTATCGGGCGGATGACGGTACTTCGACCGACTTCGACTACCGAACCGACAGTCCTTGTTGTGCTGTGAGAGTGGCAATACTGCGTCTTACGTCTTGTGAGGTTATGTTATAGTACTGGTACGTAACAGCTGTTGTATTGTTGTCACATCGTTGTTAAATAGTAATGATGCTTGGTTATAGTTAATTGTTAATTTGGGTAGTAGGCCTAATTATTAAACTCGTGTGTTAATTATTTAGAACAATATTTTTCGTAGAAGAACCCTTTTAATTGTCCAATAACTATTTAAACACACTCTTTTGTTGATAAAATACACAGTATTGTTGATAGCTACTTGCTACAGGTGCAACCCCTATCGCACTAGGTTCAATACAATTTTTTATAATGGAATATTGTTTTTGTATAGTACAACACGACGGAAAGAAGATCGTGTTTGGAATAATTTTGCTAATTACATTATGTCAACAACTCATAATTAGAAAAAAAATACATTATAAATTAGCCAATTGGATGAGAGCATCCATTCAAAAAGTAGTACTTTGACCATAGACCACGTCTAATTAAGTTTCATTTTTGATTTTTGTTAAATTTTTAACTAGACGTTATAGCATCTCCTTGGAAATATTTCAATAGAAATATTTGCGGCAACTTGCGGTTTGGTGTATCAACTGTCGACCTGATTCTGATTCGGATCTTTTTACAGCTAAAGTGGAAGGCTGACTTCTTTTTCCCCCTCTAGTCCGATGGTTTCCTTGACGCTTCCTTTGAGTGAAATAATTGAACATGGTTTTGTGCTTTGAGCACTTAAGACCCTGAATTTTTTATTACAAAACCCTTTTGTTGCTAACAATCTGTTAAATGTAGACTATGACGTGCACGTGACCATATGGTTTAGAAAGTTTTTGTGTGATTTGACAATGACGCTTTGACGTCGAAACGCGCGTAATCCTATTTTGGACTTTCATGGATCACTTGGCGATCAAGGTAATGTGACCTTGTATATATACATTATCATCAGTGATTCAGAAAAACAACATACAACATGAAGTGTTAAATGTGTTCGTTATCATTTAATTGTATTTTCCCAAATTCCAGCTATGCGATAGAAATGGTTATTGTCAAATTGTATGTTTCCAAAACTTTTTGTAATAACATAACACGGATAAAGGGGTGGAAACCATTGTAGGCTACAGTAACTGCAGTACTGTATAACTATATATTTTCAATAGACTACGAGTCGTTTTTGTGTATAATTCTAAATTTATGTGTAAAAGCTATATTATTATATAGTAGTTTATGTCAGTGGTTATTGAAAAAATACTACTTGCTTTATACACCACAGTAATCAGCAAATACAGAGAAACTCGGTAATTCGTGATGAAAATTGTGAGGAGAATTCTTTATGCAAAAGTGTTATCAAATGTAGATTATTTGATTTTAAATCAATCAAGAATAAAATAATGTTAGATAGGCTTTAAATAATTAATTCTACTAAACTTCATAATATATCCTGAGCAAATCACTTGGTCTTTGAAAGTCTGCTAGATCCTTACCGGAACAGAATCCTACGAACCGGTCTTGTGTCGTGCTCTGTATGCAACCCAGCTGATTGTAGTAACTCCACCTTGAACGTCCTTAAATGGAAGTCATTGTCATGTGGACATTTTTTTAATTTTTGTCACTTGGCATCATAATAAAGTTTGGTATTTTCCCGTATTTTAAAAGTATTTATGAGCTAGGTATAATCAGCTATTGTAGTGATTAGAACACGGGAATTTTGTTTTTAAGGTGTCAGTTTATATTCCTGTAGTTACCAAATCGTTTTAGCTATGTGATTAATTAATTATTCTTACCTTGTGGTTCGTAGGCATCATGCCGTAGGTTTAACTACTGTATCAAATGAAAATGACATGTATCTCAGTTAGGAGAGGTTTCTCTGAATTAGAGAACCTCCTTCGCTAAAAAGCTGTACTAGTGATTAATTTGGTAAAGGGTTACGAACTATCATAGTGCAATAAAAATGAAAACTTTTTTGAATCCCCTAGCTTTAAAATTATGAAGTATATTTTGTTCCATCTTAGAGAAATATTAGATCGTGTGATAAAGAGTGGTTCGTTGTATAAAGCTCAGTTGCTGGTCTCAGGCACGAGAAACAGATTTTGCAATTGTGTTAGTCTTTGCATGGCAATTTCATATGAGTGATAATAAATTTCAATGAATGTGTAGTCTGTCTTTTAATCAACAGCAGCCATCGCTCATATTGCTCGTTCATTCAGTTATCAGTAGGTCTACAATTTCTATTGTATATTTCTTCCGTGTTTAATCAAATCTATTGATGAACCTAAAACCATGACCTAAAAAATTGTAGACAATTTCACTTTATCCAGTCCCATAAAGAGTCAGTGTTTAAGTGGATTTATTTAGAAAGTTTCTTCAAGTTTTTTTGTTCTCCGGGTCTGGCATATGTTAACATGTTTCGTAATATGTGGTTAAAGTTTTGATTTTTATCTGGTACGAAAATCTATATGTAAAACACATGTGCCGTCAAATTCACCCTAAACTATGTTTTTCTCCATGCGTACATTTTGATCGACAAAAATGCGTTGCCAGGCGTTCAACACATGCCCCAACTGCTTCCAAATCATGTTTGGAATATAATTTGCAACATGCCAAATCATGCTTCAGATTTACAGTACATAGAGAATTATACTTTCAGTATCGAAAGTCAATGACATATCACACATGGTCATATGGATGATAGTCCACGCAGCCTCGAGGGACAGTGGCAATCAGCTGTGATTATTCACGCCCAGCTGTTGACAAAGCCAGTGTTGCCAACGTACATAGGTTAAAATCCCACTTGAGGCAATTGTGGCCAATCAAGCATTACACGTCAAAGTACCGCTGCTAACTTGGCCAGCGAAGTCCCTCTTCACATCTGACGACTGCTAGAGCTTAATGTGTTGTGAAAGAAAAGGATCGTAATTCTTACATACGATGAATAACATCGGAATCGAAGTGATTTAGTATTATAACTTAAAATCCCTTAGATTTGTTTTGGTCAATATTTACTTATGGGAACAGCTCGACAATATTTATAACAAGTCAGTTTCTGTTTAAATAACAACAATATTTTTCGCAATTCTGTTTACCTCAGTAGAAAACAGAATTGCGAAAAATATTTAGTAGTATCATTTTATCAACACTTAAAGGCCACGTAGCTGGACGTATTTTAATCCAAATATGAATTGATGATCGATATGCGATGGGTGTGATAGAAGCCCTAAATACCATTTGCATGTTTTCTGCTGACTTAGATCAGCTGTTTTCTTAGCTAAGATTAGCTTAACAGATGGGTCTAGTTTTGATACGTTTTCCTGGATCGAACCGGTGACCTTGTTATTTTTTAGGTAACACTCAGCTATATAGCAATGGGTAGGTACCAATTTTAGTAAATGATCCGTGAGAAAAGTAATTTGTTCATCATTGCGATTCCATGGACTACCAACAATTTAATGTTTATGTGCTTTCCTGATCTTTTGCTGGTAATTGGTAAGGTGAACAACACAATACCCAGAAGTTTACGTATCACCATATTAGGCAATACCATAAAATAATTTATAACTTGTTGATGACACTATCGCCCATTACACTTTGTGATCCTAAAGTCTGTGGTATAATCATCAACCATACAAACAATGTTTGTAACGAGCAATCAAATTTTTGAAGCCTTCGGTATAATGACGAGGTAAGGATCAACTCATCCTGGTGAGGTTTTGCTGTGTCATTGTTAACCAGTTTACCAACAATACTCAACTCTTAGCAAACTTATCAAACAAACCTCTAATTGTAAATTTATCTCATTTTTGGGGGAAAAACTTGTTCATTCCAAGAAAGTTCAAAATAGAGGAGATACTTCAAAACGCCAAAATAGGTCGTTCGAATTTATTAAATTTTGTAAAATATATTTTAAAGTTTGAATAAAAAGAATATACACAAAAACAATTGAATATAATTTACTTAGGATACTTCAAGTATTATCTCCAGTTATTATTATACTCTAAAGCCTGTACTAGTATTTAATGCCCGGTTGGTTGATGTGAGTTTGCTGATGTAGACTAAAATATTTTCCCTGGTCGTTGTTTTAGAGATCGACGGATCGTAGGAAATGTGTTTGCAGTGTATTAGTGATTCTTTGGCAACTATACCAAAAGACAAGCAATATTACAAATCGATTTTTTAATTTTTAGTTATATAATTTTAGAGTAAGTGATATACCAATAATAATAAATAGTAAACAATAAAATCTCTTTTCGTTCACCATACAGTAACATAATATAATACTTTTTCAGCTGATCCTTAAGGGTAACAGGCTCACAAATTCTAAATCTATCTAAGTATCTATATACTTAAATACGATAAGAAATATTCCCTGTAACATATATTTTCCAGCCGTCCTACTTAACCGATTTTCGTGATTGAGGTGTCATTTTAAAGCTTATGATCCAGCACACCTGCGAATGTTAACGGGAAAGGTAATTTCCTTTATGCTTCACCCCATTGCGTTTAAATTATTTAGAGTTCACTTTCAAAGATCCAGTGCTGCTGACCAACATTTTTTATAAAGGTTTAAATATGAATTATGTTTTGAACCCTATTAAAATTTACAATTTGCGCCCAGTTTATCCTCATTCGTTCGTTATTGTCAAAACCGGAGTAATAAATTGTCAAAACATCACGTTACTACTCAACTAATTTAACAAGGTATTTCCCATGTTTGACGTTATTTATAAGAACAAGTAAATATGATATGTCATCCAGTAGTAATAGAAGTGGATATCGAACATATTGACAAGAGTTTAAGATATCGGTAGTCTAATAAGACGAGTGGCATCAACTTATACTACTTCTGTCAATCAATGCTCTAGGTCAGATGTTGGAGTACTCTTTGTCTTGATTTCAACCTAAATTTACACCTCTTGACAATTAATTTGTTTAAAATACCTGGGAGTCAGTAGCTGTTTTCGGTGTTGTTTGTGTTTGTGTTTCTGGGAGTGACGTTTAAGTTTAAGTTTCTTATTGTGTATACTGAACTGACTAAAGCGTCTAAAACATTTCAATGGATGAAAGGTTAGTAGAAGTGTTGCACTTGTTATTCCTGATATACAGGAATTTTACTGAATATTACAGGAATAGTATACTTCATAACAAGAGTAGAAAGTGAGTCATTACATATTTGAGACTATGTTTAAAGTGCGAGATTTATCGAGCAGAGAGTAATTTCACAGTAGTGTAGCAAAATTAGTTTTTCATAATTTAGGAATATTTTCTAACTGAGCCACTTCATGTACATATCCAAGCATGTATTTCGCGAGGAAACATTTTGTTACTTTCTAATATAATTTTACTCGGTACAAACGGGATTAAACATATAAATAGCTTTAATATGATTCAGGACTTGAGGGAATTTGTCACCTTAGGTAGGTAGGTCAAATAAAATACATTTGCTTGTTTATCATACATGTTTATATTTCCAAATATTAATCATGTTGTATTACTCCCTAATGAATTTGTCATCCATGAGAATCAGCTGAAACTAAGGAATGTTTCTGATCTTAGTAAAATCTTGTATTTCGAGTGTTTTTCAACGGTTACTACCCTATTTATTTAGTGTTATTTCACCAACTTAAAGTCTATTTTCACTAAAACAATATATTTTAAAATTGGTCCTTTGGAACTGTATCTAAAGAGTGAAGCGAACTCTGTAATGGCCCTTGAAGTAAAAGATAACCATTTAGTCGACATCAAGAAACTCAAACGTGACCGGGAATGAAATAATTTGTTTAGCGATTTTCAATTACTTATGAGTGAGTGTATGCGCTTCCAGTTACAATAAGCTATGTGCAGATTAAATTCATTTAATGCTAATTATTGGGTGAGTCTATAAAAAGTTTGTGTAAGATTTGTAACAACAACAATTAATTTGTAACCATTTGTAGTAATTAAGAGACCAGCGCACAACATCTTGTATTAGTTTTTACTGTATTAGTTTACTTGTATTAGATACTGTTAGTAAGAATGGAATTTTTAGATAAGTAAAAACAAGGCTGCCGGTCGTTTGTGATAATCACTACGTAATACTCAAAGTCCGGGTCTCAATATCTCATATAGTTATTGTTTTGTTGGGCGTTCAAGAAGTTTGGATCAGAATGTTAAACTTATTTAAGCACTTTGCTGAAATAACCAGGTAATTATAGTGGATTTTCTCAATTTATTGTTTAAATGAAGTATAAACGAGTTCATGTGCACGCAATATAGGTTAATTAAGGTTTCAATGTCAAAGTTGAGCAATAAATATCGTAAAATTGTAATGAACTATTTTAAGTTAGACTGCAAGAAGAGATGCAATATTGATTGGTTATATAATGTTATGTATCATATTGAATGTAATCAGCTGTTTGTGCAAGTTGATAAAGTAACTGTTTCTTATACTGCATTGAACTTGTATAGGCCTAGGTATTTTTAAAACTATAATGAGTTATTAGTAGACTTAGAGCGACGGTTAGGGATTGTTAAACATAACTTTTGGTTAGTGGCCAAAATATTACATAGTGTTTTATATTGTAGTTCAGACTAGTTACAGCCCAATAAATATTTATTTAGGTTTTAAATCACACCCTTAACCTGTAAAGTACCACAAAATATCTCAACAATTAACTGTATTGTTGATTTGGGTTTCTAGTTTATTTAGCTACAAAGATTCCCCAAAACTATTTGGTTAAATTATAACACTTGAGTAATTTCAATTGGAATCATTAATTTACACATTTACTTGAACTAAACATCTTGATAAAAGCGAGGTTAACGTGAGTATTTAAAGACACTAGTATTTGTTTTAGAGAAAATTTTCGTCCAGCAACATTTGTCGGAGTCTGGAAGGTGGAGAGTACCAAAATATCTTCCGTTGACGTAGAGATATGATTATAAATTTCCTGATTTAACTTTGGGGAGACCATCACCATACCACATCATAGTACATTAGAATAGGCTATGCTAACTAATGAAATAGTTACAAGGGTAAAAAATGTGTTCATGATTATTAGATTTCTAGCTTGAAATTAAAACTGTTAAAAACATCGGGTAATACATTGGTCACTTCCTATTGTGATGATAATAAATATGCAAATACTTATTGTATTGTTTGAATTTTAAATTCGAAATTGAATTATGATCTTTTAGTGATTCAATAGTTTATCAATTGACGAGGTTTAAGCAAATATAGAGCATAAAAATAAAATGTTCTGTTTAATTGTGTTACAGCTTTAAATTGATTATTTAAAGTTAAAATTGTTTAGTAATAGATGATGTCAGCAGTTTTGCAGCAGCATTTAAGGGGTCCTGATTAAAAAACGCAGACATATTCCCGTTGCGAATTAAGGGCAGAGCGATTCATATAATTACAATAGGGTGAATAGATCTATATCGTAGATTAAATACGTCAATAGTCAGATTTGCTCGTGGTGGTCCACGATAAGGGGTTATCCCTTTTGGCTGATAATTTGATCATTGAAGGCATTGAACTGATGATATAAACATCTGTTTGGCCTTCAAAATTAAATGTTTATCTCTTTCAAGCTCCAAATAATTAATCGATTTTAAAATCAATGTGTGGAGACAAGACCACAACCGCCCACGCCTGTTGGACATTCCCTTTCACCAGGCATCACCTCTGACCTACTTTCAACATTGTTATGGTCCCAACAGCACGTGCTGTATACAGCTGTGATTGTAAACAAAATAACGAACAGCTGGAAACCTCAAATCCAAGATCATTTAAAACTGGTAATGTAATCGTGATGTTTAATTTTTATTGTTTAGTAAAAACAATTTTTGCAATCAGGCGCTTTCCTAAGGCGTAAAAGTGCCTCATAAGTTATACAATTTAATTCTTCCAAAGCTGGAAACTTACCAAAGTAACTGTATTTTAGTGAAAAATGAACAAAACATTCTGAAATAAAACAGCAAATAGTAATAGAGTTATTGTCAAGAAAAAAAAGGATAAGCCTACTGGGGTTGTCCACTTTGTTTATTTCTACTAACTGATTCGAAATTTAATGTATAATTATTATTTTCGGGCAGAATTGATAACGGTGACCTTGTTTGATTATCCAAACGGAAACAGACTCATATGAATTCTGCCTTTAGAGGCCATATTTTTGCACTATTTCAGTCAATTTGGTCGGTTGGATTTTGAGTGATAAAACTGGCATACACTTCATTTTTGTTATCGATATAATATATTTATAGTTCCAATTCTAAGTAATGAATGTGAGCAGTGAAGAATTTATTTTAAATAACACTCCAATATCTTATAAAACTTCAATTTACGATGGACATTTATAAAATGTCCTCGCATTTACCAGGTTTATTTTTGTACTTGTGAGTTGTTGTCAGTTACAGTATTGGTTAGTTTAAGCATTACTTGTTATAGTTTCATATCCTCAGTACTGCGCTGCTCGTTGTTTATCTGTTAACAATCTACCAGTACACATCCGTACCAGTACATGATATTCCATCCTCTCCATTGTATATTGTCAATGATAGACAACCGTTATTTGACAATGAATCCGGTAACTTTCATCTCTCATTCCACGTTTTAGTCCCTTGCAACTAGTTAGCTTGTTTATTACTGAAACTTCAATTGTATCTCTGCCACCTTTGTGTGAAAGTATATCACTGTTTTCAAAAATGGGAGATTCTAGGCAAAAATTACGCCCATCTTTATTTCGTCGCAAGAAGTGAGTCGAATTGTATTTATTTGTAAAAATAATAATAATTGAACTAATTTTGTTGGTATTAGAGTGTTAACTATGATTTTGTACTGTACAACCAGAATATGTTTACATAGCAGTTCTTAGTCATTTTATATCGCAGATCTCTCTTATATTAAAAATACTTATTTTTTGTTCTGTAAAAGTTCACAAAAAAGAAATCATTTCATATTGTCCTGTAATTTCATAGATCAAGAAGGGATGAGTATTTACATTTCGTATGTTTTGGTCCAGGGAGTAAATGGCTGTGTATTTTAACCTGGATATAAGTAAAGGATTACCATAGTAGAATGAATCGAGATAGCTTTTGTGGCTTTGTTACAAAACCAAGAAATAATACCATCTGTTTTTGAGCTAGGACCATTTATTAAAATGTCCAACTATCCAAGGACCGATATGTAGATATTTAAACCTAAAGCTTTAAGTGGGCTTCAAACTTTGGGCCTCATAATTAATTGTCACACAGATTATTTGATTAGTGATTGGCATGATTTGAACGCGAGACTTAAAGGACAGATGTACTGTGCTTTAACCTGACCGACCGCTTGACTAACCATTGACCTTTGTGTGCCCTGGTGATGTGACTGCTGGAAGTTTTACAGATTCTCTCTTGCCTTCCAGCTGTTCTAGGATACTATAAATGGATAGAAAGAGTATTACAAAATCCTCTCTTGACCTATAGGACACTGTCCAGTGTACAGAAGAGTTCTAACCGGTTCCATTCTTGGCTTACGTCCAATGTACTTGGCCTTGGGCGTGACCAAACGAGATCTTTCAACACTCACCACGGTCATAGCCCTTTATGGAACCCATAGATTACTTAATACGGATTAAAAATTAATCCTTAAATTAATTACACTCTTGTAATTTACTTGTATTGTTACGTTGATACATTATTTTGGTAAGCCCGTTTTATTTAATTTCCTACATCGATAACATTTTAAGTAGCATTAATGATGTGTTATAATATGAAGTTATATGTTTAACATAATTGTGAGTTTATTTAACTTAAATGGGAGGACTAAGTTCTATCATGGATAGATAAATCGTCCTACGAGTCGATTTATCATATATGGAACTGCTTGAAGACAATTTTAAGCATGTATGAGAGCATTGGTTTTAATTTTTTCTTTTTGTCATCTAAATCAAACAGTCTAGTTGAAAACTTATAGGTACTTGCCCACTGGATACTACACAAGAATAAAGTAGATATTCTATGGTTCACTCTTAAACAATTTTAAAAATCCAAAACCTCTCGCTATGTAATTTATGTTCTACTTTTTACGATTGGATTCTTTTTCCTATAGACCCACTACCAAGTCTCAGTTAAGGGAGTTGAACATGCCAAGATGCGTGATCGATGTTCAGTCTCACGCAAGATTGTATCGTCTTGGCTGAAAACACGCGTTTCAACACAGCTTGTAGCTCAAAGCTCGTAAAACTCTATAATAAAACAAAGATACCGTACATCGCAAACGTATTTCACAGTAGACCTAACAGTTTCAGATTTGTTTTTATTTTGCTAAGTGATTTTATAATAACTACCATCGTAGGGCCAGCCACGATCGAAAACTAAAACTAACATATACAACTAACTACACCGATCTACAATAACTAAACAGTACGAAAAACACCAACATTCTGTACAAACACATTTGTCTATAAGAACAAACGAAGCAAATTGTTAGAGTTACATTGAAGTATGGGTTTGATTATTTGTCAAACATGTCTGTTGTTAAAAATATATAATACTTTTCAGAAGTAAAGTTTAGTCCAGAACTTAACGTGAAAAGGCTTTAAAACAATATTAATATCCATAGTAAAGTAGTAAGCTCATTATTACTAATGCTGTGTTTAAAATATTTGCATAAAAGTTTGAATTAGTGGATTTTCAAAATGGTTTACTAACTACCAATGTCCGAAAAACTAGTTACCACTTGGTAGTTTTATGTTGTAAACAGTGGGTATTGTTTAGTTTTTTTTACAGTCTTTAATAACCTTGAAGCATCTATTGTTTCAATACATTGGATTGGTCAAAGGATACACCTAGAATATCTCTGAAGCTCAGTACTGAATTATTTGATTACCGATGATGACTGTTTATTTTCGTCACAGGTCGGGAATGGAGGCGGGGCCACCCCCGAAGATTCTACTGGAGTTTCAGGACCTCTGCTATACTCCTGTCGGTGAGTGTCCATTTTTAATAATGTTACAAACAAAAACTGTTTCTAACGTAGATACTAACTTTATTTTTGTTTCTGAATTGGACATTCTATCTGGATGTTGCAATTACTTCGTAGAACCTTTTATTATTGATAGAAGTAGCCCTCCCTCCCTTCACGTGCAAAAGCTGCAGAATAACATTTAACGGAATTGATTGAGACAGCAAACAGAGTACGAAATACATACATTAAATACCTCTTCATATACCTACTACATCAATTTAAATTACTGTATTCTGTCATCTACTACAATTTTTTCAACATGCCAAAGATGACGTATTATAGCTAATATAATCTTTTGCGCCATATCAAAGTATCAAAATTACGGGGAAAATTAGAATGTTGGCATTAGTGTACTTAAAGGTGTATTCTACTATTTTTAACAGCTGGTCCATAAAGGTGGAATATCTGCTTTAAATATCCAAAAGGCAATGGTAGTGTGTAGTTGAATCATAGAGTGGGTTACTATATAAGTCCTGTTTATTTGTGTTTCTTATACTATGAGAGTTGAGGACATTGCTATAGTTTACAATAAACTGATCATTTAGTGTCTAAAATTTCTATTATGACAGGAAATTGTATTTTACAGCTAAACATTATGTCGGTGGCAAAGGTAAATTACAAAGTTATTTTGCGCTAAAAAGCTGGCCACAATTCTCAATGTGAGAATGGAAGAGTTGAAGGCTTTTAAGAGACATCCGCTTGCACTTTCCCATAAAATCACAAAGCTATTTTTTCTAACATTTCACATAATACAGTTACTGTATCGAGGATTTATTTGATATTAAACTCTGGAAAGGAATTGACACCAATATCTATACCCGCCTCACCTCATTCTGAAATCCCCATATAGACTCGATATTGACATGAGTAGACCAATACTGAAGCAGAAATTTTTGTAAACATTTGTCAACACCAGATAGCTTAACGCATTTTTACAGTGTAGATTGATCAAGTATAATCAAGTTTCTTTAATGTAGAAAATCCATAGTTACACCATACACACTGGGGCGTAGGTGGTCTTGTTAATTTTATACCCAAGTCGTAACAACTTATATAAAGGAAGCCCTCAGCTTGATAATGCTACTCACGTGTTCTGTACAGTCCGTTTCAGCTATACATAGACCTAACGTACAGTCTGGTGCATTCAATTATAAAACTCTAAAATTAATGCAAACAACCAATACGTCATACCTTTATTCCTTTTACAAAACAACAAGACTCAAAGTTACTATTTTGAACAAAACCAGGGGTGCCCATCCCCCCCTAGACTCATGACGCAACCCCCCCCCCCGCAATTGAGCAACAGCCCCCCCCCATAAATGATGTACACAACAAATTAGAAACATTATTCCCCCGCCCAGCACTATTTGTAAAACTATAAAAGAAGTTTTATAATTTTTTTAGATATTTAAAATTCAAACCCAGTTAATCTATATCAATAAAGTTATAGTTTTGTCTGAAAATTGCTCAGAATTGTACATAATTTGGGATATTTATGTTTTATACATTGAAGAAGTTGAAACATGTCTTATCTCAATTTATGTCCGTCTGTCGTCACGGCCCAGAATGCATTTTATGCAGCCTACTCATGGCCTACTCTAAAGAAAACTAGAGTACCGATTATGATTCTAATGGTTTAATTGTATCCACAAGATTGGCGAGAGAGTCCTTATAGCCATTAAAATATGGCCTCACTATTTTGGAAATAAAATAACGGACGATCAAAAACACAATTTTGTGTGATTTTTCAAGTTTATTTTCTCCATGTTTACTACATACGTCATTAATTTATGAAATACTAATAATCTGTTATGAGAACACGTCATGTATGAAATTATGAGCAGCTGTTTTGATAAAGATTCCTTTTCCTAGCTGTCACTGATATGTTTACATAAATGTTCTTTAAGAATACTGTGTAGGCCCTAACCATTTCCGATCACGTTTGTAAGCAAATCCAAAACCAAGTGAGATTAATAACCGTGTGGCTTTGGCTTACATAACGGGTTTGATTTATCACGAGTACTAATATGTAACTGTAAATTAAATGAAATAACTAGCCATCATCCAGGTCGGGAACCGGAGATTCTGTTTGTATCAAGTTGTACTTGAATTTTGATTACAGGGAAAAGACCGTGAATCAGTGTTGTACAGGACTGGAAAACTTATCTTTCTATATAAATAAAATTAGAGTTTCATAAATCACCTCAATTTAAGGAATTTTTTATTGCCAGAATATCCATACAGCGTTCGTAACCTGCTTAACGAATTGTCAGCGTCTTTCTCGATATTACGATCCCCTCTCCCTCCCTTTAGAAACATCACAGCTCCTTTGATGAAAATGAAATGGAAACAACGCTTGCGCCAACAATCGTCTGCTCCGTACACTTCTGTCTGCTGTGCGCTATGTTACAACAGATTTCAGATACAACAGCTCTAGGGAATGATGACGATATAATGCTTAGTACACTGTGATTGAGTGATAACCATGGTAACTTTAGTAAGGCTGTGATTGGCCAATGAGTAGACCTAAATATGGCGACTTGTTGAATTCGTGTATGAATTGAAGAGAAACCTATTAAAGAACAGAAGAACAAAGAAAGAGAATAACAAGATTGTTCTCGTTACATTCTTTTTTAAGAGTGTTTTAATTATCTCTCAATATAATTTTACAATTTTTTATTACTTATCTATCAATTCCTATGCTGTGTTACAGCACCTATCGGTAGCCTATCCGTCTATCATGAGCAGTACCTTATAACACTTTCTAAAGGTTCCTTTAATAATTTACGTTATTTATAGCAATACAATGTTTGGCTAGTGATTAGTTGAGTTTGAGTTAGCTACAATTTTAAACGTTTCCGTTTGTACAACTGAACCAAGATAAATGATTTGAAATTTACAATAATAATGATTGTGCAATATTGAATTTCGTTTATAAAAATGTAAATCGTGACGTTTATGGCTGTTTACAGCGTTTTAATGAGTTTGTCATCTGTTTTTATACTATATTGGATTAACCGTATTTTTCATTCCCCCCCTCTCCCTATTAACTCAGGTAATCGAGTATCTACACAATAGTGTAAAGTATTGTAGCCTATGCTACTTGCTACTTGATTGTATTTTAACGAGCTTTATGTCAACAAAGCGTTCTGCTGTGCTAAGTCGCGGTGTAGCTGGACGTGTCTGTACCACGCGTTATCTTTTAACTATCACAGCAGTTGAGCCATCCCGTGCGCTCCCTCTTAGATCTCACGTCTTGCTAATCTTAAATAAAAACTTTCTACACGAATCCTAAACTATCCTAAAATCCTATTTTAACTAATTTAATTCAATAATATAACTATTGTCATTAATTAATCCACTTTCTATCTGGCGACTTCGTAATGTATTTTGGATTGTCGTCACGTTGAACATTGTTGCTATTAACTTTAGCCCCCCCCCCATTTGAATTTTTTGAGCCCCCCCCAAGAATTTCAATGACGCAGTCTGCGTCACGGCCCCCCCTTGTGGGCACCCCTGACAAAACAATTGGACTTTTAAAAAAGATGTATAAGAAAATCAGTTTTTGGCAGTCAAAGATATTGGGTTTTTTAATAAATGGTTATTCATAGCACGTCAGGTTTCATATGCGATAGCATTTAAGATTTAACAAGAAATGGATAGTTGACCGTAAAGTTATAAACACACGCTGCATCAATACAAGTATATTGCACCTGGGAAAAACGCTTTAAAATTTCCTACTCCTGATCCATAACGATGCATCGAAGTAACGATGATCAATGCATTCGAAAGTTTGTTAAACCTTTACGTTTTAGCACCCTGCTGTAAGATGTGTGTTAGTATAAAAGTACAAAGAAAAATCTAACGTAACATTCAAATTCAATTGAAGCCCTTGATAAGACATTGATTGGCCTAATTCAATCTAACATGGCTTCCTAGTCACGTGATAATGCATCGTGTTTTGTTTTCTTTCTTTGTTGTATTACTTTCATCGTAAATGCATTTTTTATCATCGAGTAGTTGATTTGAAAACGGTAATTTTGTACACCAGATTTCACAGCTCATAAAGGTAACGTAGGTTTCCTGAAGGCGTACCTAGCATTTTATATGGGTGTTATTTGATTTCTCATTGTGTGAGGTATTTTAATTTCGTATACCATCAGTATGCAATTCTGTATACATACTAGTTTGGACAACACTAAATATTAATTACCGTGTTTTAAAAGATTGTGACTGCTGACTTAAGATTTGTTAGAAGGTTGGCTTTGTAAAAGAAGATAAAACTTGTGATTATACTTATAAATTTAATTTACCTTTTCGAATCAAAGAAATGTGCTAGATTTTTAAGGGATATCCATCAAACCAGGTTTCGATAACGATAAGGATGACATTTTGACCAATCATTATTGGTGTATAATCCACTCCACATCAATTTTCCCATACTGTAAAAACTACTGTGTACTGTGTTTATTTTGTCCCGTACTGTTGCTTATACAAAATAAACAGTGGCACCAACAACTAAATAAAAGAAACTACGGTATGCCAAACTCGATACAAATCAATTAAATGAAACAGTGTGGTAACATAAAATATTTCCCTCACTTTTTATTTGCTTGTAATTTAGAACGTAAAATACTAAAAAAAACCTTATTTATTTGGTCGCATCAGTCTAAATGACTATCGTAAAGAATCATAATATGTACATTTCGTAACACCATCAAAGGCAATCAATGATGTCCGTTCAATGTCGTTGTGTAGTTTTTTCTAGTTTATTCATTCCTCTGACTGAACTACTGAACTACAATACTGATAACACCAAGAGATAACGTAAGATAACCTTAAAGAATGTATCTATAAAATTATAGTGTATATCTTCCGTATAATATATTCTACGAATACTACATCTTCTTGAGAAACGTTTCTTAAACCTGTCTTTTGTACTATTTCAATGTTCAGCAGCAGTAACGCATCTTTACATTGATAATTTGTGCTGTATGTACCCTGGCTGAAGAGGACTAAGTCCTAAAACAGCCTCAGTCCAGTAGGGTTTCAGCTCTCTGGATTGGAACATCACGAAGAACGATGCTGTACGTGTTATTATTGTGACAACAGAGAACTTATCAAACTCGCTGTCACAAAGAGTCACATAGTAGAATGTAGTGAATGACTTTGAAGTGATGGCGAAACAAAGATTGTTACAGAGGAAGCTGCTGACAAAGAAACTTTGCTCACAACATATGAATAAGAGTTCATATGAATCAGCTAATGAACTGAGTTATAGATCTATTGACATGTAAGAATACTCAAACTTCAAACTATTCTAAAGTCTTCACCTTTGTGTTTGGTTTATAAATCCTATGTAGTGCGCTGATGTAGACTAAATATTTTCCTTATAGAGTAGGGTTACAGTGTTTACTTAGTTATTTGATAATAACTTCAATGAAATGTGTACAAACAAATGATTAGCCTATATCTAGTGTAATCGGTTGGAAGATGGGAAAATTTAAAAGAAATATTAAAAAAAATTACTTTTAATTAAAAGTAAGACAGAAATTTCGTCTTAAAATTTTTTTCAACTAATTGTGATGATAAATCCATAAGGGAGTGTTTGTGATTTTGCCAAAGTAACTAAAGTATTGTTATTTACTTTTCACTCGATACATAAAATGTTTCAATCAGTTTACAATTTGCAGCTATACATGTAGAATATTACAAACACTTTTTTGGGTATGCCTCGTTGATTTTTTATAACTCGTTCTTAATTTTGTCACGTTGATTAACATGGACGACACTTTGTGTTTCAGGTCAAGATAGCAAAGAAATACTAAAAAACGTAAGTGGAAGATTCCGGCCTAACCATGTGACAGCAATTCTTGGACCCTCAGGAGCGGGGAAGTCGACACTCTTGAAAATCCTCACAGGAAACAGGTATATTAGTAAGATGTTATCACGTAATTATTCAATGATATTATTTGATACTATAAGTTCTTTCCAGATGCATGTATGGTGGGTTGCAGCCTCTGACCAAAACATGGGTGGCGGTTGTCAGGGTGGCCTTTTGAGGGCTGTTTCCATGCGATTCTCGCAAAACTTATAAAAAACATAATATGTTTGCAAAACTAGTTGTTTTGTTGCAAATGTGTAATTCCCTCAGGGCTCTGTCTCCTGGGCTAAAAGTTAATGTTTTGTGTTTTGTAGTTTTCAAAATTATTTTCACTTACTTGATTGCCCAAACGATTTATACGCAGCAGATAGAATATTTTATAAAATTATACGTACCGGTAGTGAAATGAGATTATTTACTGTACAATGGTGTCATTATAAATAGAACTTTTGGGAAATTATATAGTTATAGAGAATACTACTAGCAGCTTTAAATTTGTCATTCAAATTTTATAATGTTATGCTCATAGCACGATTTTGCAAATTATAGAGGAAGCTAGTGTAGAACCTACACTATCAAACAAACTACCTCCTAGTTCTAGCTCTAGTTTGGTTGGTTAAAATAGTTTAATGAGTGGTTTCCTCTATTTAGTGACAAAGGTGAAAGGTCAATAGCACTTAACACCAGAACTAGAACTAATGACAGTTGATTTATTAACATTATATTTAGAAATAAGACATTACTGGTACCAATTATGAACATAAGTAGTTGAACTCCGGTGTGATAATTACTTACATCAAAATTGGTTGTTTTAATATACTAAATGCATATATTTTTTTAAAACACAGTGAATTATTTTGATTAAAGTATTCTCTTACTCTGTGGTTCTATCCCCTTAACAATCTATTTCCCCCCTACAACAGTTTTTAGAGTTGAAGCAGATAACATTAAAAAGAAAATTAACAGAATCAAGAACATTTCTCCTGTATGAGAGATGAGTTTTAAAACCTAATTGAATCATACAATATTGTAGAGATTTTTTCAAATTTCAAACCTAGCTGGAGTAGATCAGACGGGGTGAGGACTCACAAAACAGCCATATTTTAACCTTAGCTGCTATATTTGCTGCATTGTGAAATTGAGAATTGTGTTAATTAATTGTTGTAAGTTTTGAACAAATGCGGGTTTACAGGTCAGCTGGAGTGAAGGGACGAATCACAGTCAATGGCCAGCCAATGATTCGCTCCCAGTTCCGCAAACTGTGCTGTTACATCGCACAAGACTTTGCGATGTTGGGTCTACTCACAGTCAGGGAGACTCTACAAGTTGCTGCCAACTTTAAACTTCCCGGCAATATATCCAGCTCCAAGAGGAAAGCTTTGGTTTGTAACACAATTTTCAAGAGTCAAGTGTCTGAACATGTTAGTTTACTTTAGTACTTTTCATAGCCAATTGCAAAATATACATTGCAGGCAAATTAAATTATTCTTGAAGAACAATCGCTTATGCACTATGGTTTTTCACAAAGTAAACTTATATAGGTACTTATGTGATCAAATATAGTGCTATATTAAACCTCTTTCTTTCAGAAGTTTACCCTACATGGTAAGTTTCTGAGTGAATGCGAGAGACATATATATACATTTTTTTAAATTGTATAATCCAAAATTCATTTCACATCACATAAAGTTTAATCACACACAGTTAAATATAAAAAGAACTTTATCAAATAACTTAACATCTAAAATGAATTTCTTTGGGTATTCGATAATATAGTGTAGACAGTTTTTCAACCAGTATTTTACAGAATTGACTTGAATATGCTTCTTCTTACAAATTGCTTTTAGACCCTTATACAGATGTCCATCATGGATATAGCTACTTTTTGAAGAACATTCGATCTTCGTTGAAATCTATTTAACTAATTCTCTGTGTTTGTGCACCTTTCAGAAATTAATCTTTCTATATTACACTGTTCATCCCCATTTTGTTCAAGTATTGCCATTAGCCCCAGTTAGATCTCTAGTTTATCTCTAGATAGAGATATGTTGTTTTGTCCCCACCAACAATTTCTTTCTATTCTTTTCCATTCCCTGTTTTTTTTTTCTATTGCTCTCCCTAGTCTGGTGACCTGATGATCTTCCTTGGTCTCTTCTTTAAGAGACCTTGTGTTACTCCATGGAAAAAACTTTTATGGGTTGTTGAATTTTCTGTCAACCACTTACAGCCCTAGTCTCAAATATAATTTAAGTACCTCTTGGGTTTTCAATAACCATAGAAGATAAGACAGGGAAAGCTACACCATGATTTCTATTTAAAAACTACTTATTTTTCAAATTAACTGTTCTAAAAAAAGAATCGGGTGTAAAAAAGGACCTTTAAAAATATATTGTGTGCTGTGCTGTTTCTGCTTGAACGTAAGTCAGCAATTGTCCCTAAAATAATTCCATGAGGATAACACTTTGTCTCATGTCTGTGATCTTTGTTTATTTGATGTAGAGTTGAAACAATTAGTCCAGTCGTGCAGCCTAGCTACTGTGCCTGTAAGTTAGTTGTAAGGGAGAATTTTTGTTATATTCTAAAAACATCTGGTGAGTGTGAAACAACAACAATTTTATTCTAATGCTTCCTGACCAAGTCATAATTTCTCGGCTTCTTTTGATGGATCCAAACTATTTGTTCCAGTAAGTTACTTTTACTCATACTCAATCTTAAAACCAACAATTTTGTAAGGAAACATTTGTTCCAAGATAGAAGAGAAGGTGGCCGAAGTGTTGGACACCCTCGGACTGTCACCTCAGGCTGAGACGCAAGTGCGACACTTGTCTGGCGGAGAGAAGAAGAGACTGTCTATTGGAGTGGAGCTCATCACCAACCCTCCTGTCATGTTCTTCGACGAACCAACCAGGTCAGAACTTGTCCAATAAGTTCGTTCTGTAACTAGAATATAGTGCTACACTGTTATGTTGTCTCACTAATTGTTGTTGTCTACACGTGTAGCATGGAAGAAACTCAAATTTAAGAGAAAGAGGTACGAATCCCTAAAATTTACATGAATAAGACAGGGATTAAACCAGTATATGCTAAACAGTAGGTGAGCAACACACCCAAAATCCTACTTGGCTAGGATTTAGGATAGGATATAAATGATATATATTTATATATGTGTCCGTTAGCGCGATAACTTGAGCAAAAATTATCCGATTTTGATGAAATTTGGTACAAACGTGTAAACCTACATTTATTCGAACTAGTTCGTGAACCAGCATAATCGGACCATGGGAACAGTGGTTTATGGGGGGTTTTACGGGGTAAAAATGGGTTTTTCCCATTTTTTTCCCTAAAAACAAAAGATTTTGCAATTTCTTTCTCAACCATTTTGTAGAACTTAAAAAAAGAAATAATTTAGTATATTGAAGCGCTGTTGTATGCCTAACGGTCATGGAGAAAATTTTAAAAAAGTGTAATTTAAAATTCCCATTTTATTCTTATGGAGAAAATGAAAACTGTTGTAGTTTACTTGTTTATGGATATATATTGATACAATTTGGCAAATTTATTTATTTCATCCTATACTATTAACATATGGTCAAAAAACACTTTTTACCTTCCCCGTAGCAGCAAACCTAAGCACTTGTTAAATCTAATGTTATTTAAATTGGGAATAAATATGTCTTATTTATGGAAATATTTTAGTAAAAATGTAATCAGACAAGTTGAAATTCGCTTAGTCTGCAGGTTTGCTGCGGCGGGGGTATTTTATAGTCTACTGTATTTCATTCACCTACTTACATCTGTTGCAGTGGACTAGATAGTACTGCCTCACTGATGGTTATGGATCATCTCAAATCATTGGCACAACGAGGCATCACTGTGGTTGTAGTGATTCACCAGCCCAGCTCTAGATGCTTCCAGAAGGTGGACGATGTCTTCCTGCTGTCTAGGTATAAGCATTGTTGAAATTCACGCTGAAATCCCGTAAATCCAAACTAATTGAGACCAGACCCTGTCCCGATTGACAGAAACGCAACAAAAATGCAATTCCATACAATAGTTGTCTCGGTTTCCAAATTAGATTGACACAATTATTAATATTTCAGATCACACAGTAATGATTTTAAATTTAAATAAATAAAATACATTTTTCCCAACGGATTGGCCGGATTAGCTGGACGTTCTGACGACCTGGATGTGGATTAGTTTGACTCTGTTGTATTTTGCTGTGTATTCTTACTGCAAAAATGGTAGTGTCTTATTATTTTATCTTAGTTACGTTATTTTTAAATAATGTTTAAAAAAAACAACAGTACAAGTATACAAACACTGATCAGTAATACAATAGGGGGGCACTTTAATAGCAAAACTATTGTTCTGGAGATCTTGTTTAAGAGATATTAGGTGATTTTACCATGACCCTTTCCTTACGCTATATATTTGGTAGTCCAACTATCTATGCAACCAGAAAGAACATGACTCTCAGGCAGAAGAAGTAATTGGGTATATCCCAACTCAAAAAACAATACAAACTTGTGTAATACATGGTGATCTGAAAAAACTCCTTGATGTGCGTAACTCAAATCATGAGACTCTCAACAGTTATTAATTATTTATTGTAGGGTAAGCAATACTTAGATAGAAATATAGCGAATGGAAACTATTCGTAAATACTAATAGCGCAATCAACTCCAAAATATACAACAACAACATAAAACACATAATTTTCAACTTAGAGAAACTTATATTAACAAAACCTGTATTTATTAGCTGAATTCTTAAAATATTGCGCTTTCACTATATGCTAGTGAAAAAGTTGCAACTAAAATAATTTCTTATTGTATTGCTTTTTACAGAGGACAGTGCCTTTACAATGGTCCTGTCTGCAACATGGTAGAGACATTTGCAGCTTTAGGTCATGAGTGCCCTCCCTACTTCAACATTGCTGAATTTGGTGAGTATCTTTTTTGACTTTATAGTTTTTACACAATTTGTCTTGGTTTTTCTTTCTTCTATTTTAGAGTAATATTGAAAAAGATTAAGATAGTAAAAACGAAATTAATATCAGTTCCAGGTATTAGAAAATTTCAATGTTTAATGCTGACATCAATATTACTCTGGAATTCTATAAATTATACTGGCTTTTTTATATGACGCTACAACCATTTAGATATTTTTTATATTAGTGTATACTATATCACTCTCCCAATCTATTTTCATTTAGCGGTGGAAGTTGCATCCAAGGCAGAAGAAGAAGTCAACCAAGTGGTGGAGAGAGCAAGACTTGACTTTACTAGACATGACAGTGACTTCTTCAAATACAAACCATTGAAAAATGGAAGTGAAGACTTATCAAGTGAAAGAAGTAAGTTGATTTCTTACAGTGGGTTTAAGATGTTTAAGATGTTTAAGGTTTAAGATGTCTTTTCTGAGCTCATCACTTAAATTCCTAGGTAGGGGGGATGGTTAAGTTAATATTTTACTTATGGGTTATCTACTTTGCATACTTGAGAAGAAGGAGGAACAGTTATTCTTCTTCCGTATAAGAGGAAAGTAAAGATATTCTTCTTTCATGAGAAGGAAGAGAATTATTTACTTTTTATTATGATAAGGAAGTACAGCAGTCATACCTCCTCTATGATGAGGTCCTCTATGAGAAGGAAGCGTTATTCTCACTGTTTTTTTCAATGCTATAGAGAAGGATTTTTTTATACAGTGATTGAGAAGCAGATGTTGGTTGCAATCGATAAAATTCAAGAGTGTTTTATTTCATACTAGTGTACATGTTGCTCGAATTCGAGCATTTACAAAGTATTACAGGAGTAAGTTCAAAACGAATAACAGTCATAGTGGTCCACGGATAACATGGAAACTTTCAAAGCCATTGGGGCAAAGCCCAAGGGAATTTTTCAAAAATGTAAGGCCAGTTTGCAAATCTACGCGACACGCTCTTTCCAATGAGACGTCAATGGATAAAATCGGTTAAGAAATGACGGAGGAGTTCAACCGACAAAGTTTCATGTAGCGTATTAATTATATAGATTTTTAGCATTTTATATCCTACTAAAATAAGAGAAAGCACAAAAAACACAAAATGATGGCTTGCGGCCAACGTTTTCCTATTAACCTTCTAAAATTAGTGGTGTTTTCAGTAGTCTTGCAATAATGGCTGTTTTTAGCATACATTCAGCAATCTGACATTTTCAATAGCCCGGCACCACCACAGTCCTGGATTAGCAAGCATCTACTGCAGCAATAAACTGTTCATTTATTACGGTTTGTTGTTGTAACCATAATATCAAAAGCTTAACTCAGTCTTTTCTTAGGTCCAATGCTGATATGTGAAGATAAGGATTACAAGATCCAAATCCAACGGTCTGGCTCTTCCAGTAATCAACCAGACTATCCAATATCATCTTTTGCTCAGTTCTGCATTCTTCTTAGAAGATGTACACTGTGCATCAATCGGGACATGGTATGTGTTTCTGAATTTATAAAGGAATTACTGAATTTGACTTATATGACCTAGATGATAGGAAAAGTCTTTCTTAAAAGCAGTGTAATGAAGACAAGACTTTTTATATGATTTAAACACTTTTTGGGGGTAAATTTCAAACAAAAGATAAGATAAACACAACTGGCTATTTTTTGCTCTATTACTAAACCCCTATAATCATGCCATTCAAACGGAATTTTAATATTTTTATAAACAACTAATATTTAACCTACTTTACAAAATTTTGTTCTTTGAAAACAATTTAAGTGGAATAATGTTTTAGACATTAAAATTTATTATTGCAGCCTGATTACCAGAGTACATATAAAATGTTTAAATTTGTTTACCTAACACGCCATGTTAAACTTCCCTATCCCAAGCGTGATGTATACACCTTCTTTACTTCTCGAGTGATGTAAAGTTGAAAAAAACTCACTCGGTGAGGTAATGAAACCCATTTAAATAACATTGAGTGCTTAACTTAAAAAATATACCTCTATGGAGCCAACAACGTTCAACGCTAGAAATCAGCTGTGCGCTTGAATATTATTGTTATGTTTTGAATAATTTTCCTAACCTAGCTTTTGTTTGAAAATGAACATTACTGTTAGAAGATTAGTGAAATGGACAATGAAAAATATTGTTCGTAACCTCCTGTATATTGTCGGGTCAGGCAAAATCTTGTACGTTACACGTTACGCAAGAGCGTGTTTACATCACTAGGTAAATTAAAAAACGCTCTTACTACACTTGTAAGGTAAATAGCTATTACAACACTTGATTTAGATGCAATTTAGCGGCACCAAAATGAGTTGAAATATTGTACCCTCTTCCTTTATTATAAAAATAAATTACTTTTGAAGTAAGTTCAGTCTTAGTTATCCTTCAAACTCAAAAGCATGGGTCTACATTAAAAATTCAATGCTCAGTATTTTTTTTTTCTTTTATTGATATGTATTACACTAAGTTAAATTTATAATATTTTTTCAGCATCTTTGTGGAGTACGTCTCTTCAGCCATACAATCGTCTCTCTATTATTAGGAATATTATTTTACAATTTTGGTAACGATGCTACCAAAGTCTTAGGAAATTTCTCCTTCATTTTCTTCAATGTGATATTTATCTTCTTCGCTACGTCTATGCCAACAATATGCACATGTAAGTGATTACTTAATTATATTTATACTTCTTGCAATTATTTTTTTGTACATTTTTGTAACCGAGTAGTTTTCAAAATTTACTCATAAAAAGTGTCTGTAGATACAATTTTTGCAGTTACCAATGAATGAATTTTTAGTTATCTTAAAATGACATTTTAGGAGGAAATTTTGAAAATGGGTAAAAGTTAAAGGACACTTATATGGATTTACTATGACATTAACAATATTGTTTTGTGCCCACATCTTTGTTAGCCATTATTTTGATAGCATATATATACCCTACATTTTTCTTGCAACCCTCACTGCAATAACATGTATTACACGGACATGAAAAGTACATTAGGTTAGGGTACTTATTTTAGCAAGTGTTTATCTGTTAGTACTGTGTGCTGGCCATAAAAAGAATTTATTAAAAAGCAATTTATAAAAAAACTGCTTTTATGGTTATGGTGTAATCTGGTTTGGTTACTGTCTACGGTCTATCTTGAGCTCTCATCCACCATTTTCATTAAAATATAACAAACGGCTTTAACATAAATTGTAATTTTTATTTCAGTTCCTCTTGAAGCTGATGTATTTCTCAGAGAGGAGTCCAACAACTGGTATCCCATCAGGGTTTACTATTTCGCCAAGGTTTTAGCTGATGTTCCTCTGCAGGTTAGTTGTAAAAATACTGTTTAAACTATATGTTAACTACAGCATTTTATTTTCATGTTTTTAAATATATATATTTATTAAATTCTAAAAGCGATCAGATACCTGGAGGACTAAAAAAAAGGCCCAATTTGTGTAATTCTGTTAGGTCTATTTGTAATACTTTGATACCGTACTTTAAAGTAAGGTTGTATCCACAGATAATCTGCCCGACGATATTCGTGAGTGTGGGTTGGTACCTGACGGGTCAGCCGCTGGTGCTGTATCGCTTCGGAATGCTGTGGTTGGTCAGCGTGCTGATAGCAATGTTGGCTCAGACCATGGGCAACATGGCCGGAGCAGCTCTCTCTGTGCAGGTAGGAAGTGATAAAATAGTCTATGCTGAGTCTTCCTCAATAGTGGCTAGTATAACTCTGCTTTATCTAGTGCTCTACAATTTACTGTTAGTCGACTTTTAGTAAGAGATAAATAGCAAGTAAAATTACATACAAACTGAAAGTTGTAAATTCAAGAAATGATTTTTGCCCAATGACACTCTTAGGTACTTGTAAAAAAATTGGATCTAAAGTAGGCCTACAGTAAAGGAAATAAAAAAACTTTCTTTTTACAAACATCTAGCAAACAAATATTACTGTTATTACATACTTCATAAAATTTTAAGAACTTTTTTTTTATTAGAATAAGTTATAGTAGTGAGAAATGTTTTTTTTTTCTTAGGGGCAAACGCCACAGAGAGCAATAATAAGCTTTTTTTTAAATTTTGAGTTTGGTTTTATTTATTTAAAACACTGACTACACAACTTCACAAAGTAGTCAGTTATTATTGTTCCAACAATTTTATTTGGGATAACTGTAATGGACATTTATTGCAATTATTTATTCTTAATGGCATCGGTTTACCTACACTAATTACAATTTTCATTTCAGACCGCAGTATTCATCGTCCCATCGTCCACCATCCCTGTCCTGCTACTCTCTGGTTTCTTTGTGACCCTCAAGGACCTTTATCGGCCGTTCCAAATCCTTGCGGAAGTGAGCTACTTCAAGTTTGCCTTCGAAGGAGCATGTCAGAGTATCTTCGGCTATGACCGGCCCAAGTTGCCGTGTTCCCAGCCATACTGTCACTACCGCCATGTGCACAAGTTCCTTTCCGACATCGGAATGCAGGACTTCACCTTCTGGTACAACGTTGTGTGTTTACTCGTCTGGATCGTGTTCCTCCAGATTCTACTCTACGTTGTGCTGAAGTGGAGACTCTCCAAGGCCAAAACGTGATAGTAGAAGTGATTATGTTACCACTCATGACAATTTTGAATTTTATCGTTTAATTTTTTACTTAGTTGAAAAATGCCACTCAATGACATTCGGTATTGATCAGTAGGAGCGAAAAGACCAGAGGATGCTCGTTATGCAGAGTAACACACTGTTCTATCACATTCCTTCATTGTTTTGTCTATCTGCTAGTCTCAAGTCAACACTCGAAGCAGATCGAACTCAAACCTACACAGGCAGCAAACCAGGTTTTGTTTTAGATTACCTTTGTTGTGTTGTAGCCTGTAGTTTTTGAATAGGTAGATGTTTGTGTCATCCTTTGCATTTCACCAGTTTGTGTGACATCTTCAGGGGTCTTCTTAAGTTATCTTCTTATCACTAACACTACAGTCTAAACTGTATTTACAAAAATTTTTACATACGGTTACTATAGTATCAGAGTCGGGTCGATCGGACAATGTGTCGACTGCGGACTGATAACAAATTTCTGTTTGAGGTTTTGTCGTTATTTACTCAATCAAATTACTGTTGTTCAATACCTCTGAGGATTTTTATCTTTCATCTCTTATCTCTATTTCATTAACATTATTTTTAATTTTTAATTTTGGTATAATATGATGGTACCAACAGAAGCAAAAGATTGCATCTCTTCTAGATTACCTCAAGGAGATGCAAACACTATTTAATTTTGGACTAGCTATACTGAATAATTTAAAATGCCACAAATAAATTATCCGCTGATCTTTTTGTCTCATCTAAGTTACTCATTCCATTTAAGTATACTCATTCCATTCTTTTGAACATATTTTAAGAATTTTACAATGATGGCAAATTCATTTGTTTGATTACAGTATCAAGAATTAACAAGTTAAACAGGTGAATTTAAAATGTAAAGGTTATATTTCAAAAATATTGTATAGCTTTTACCACTGTGTAGTATCATCAGGTCTATTTTCAATTTTATATATATTTTTAGTTATTAAAAAATACCTTAACTAGAAAGCTGTATTTTGGATTGTCAGGTACAAAATATTCCAGGACATCAATAAACAATCAATGAACAATAACAATTATTGTGGATGATGAATATGATTTCTTACTTTTATGATGTACAAGTTTGTTGCAAATAGCATTAAATTATTAATTAGTTTTAAGTTTTAGATTTGTAATCAGTACAGTAACACTGCAGTGGACAATAATTATTGTATTTTTCATTTTATTACTTTCATTGATGCTCAGTTCCTTGACCTTGATTACTATTTAGCAGCCTTCATGACTTCTATGAGAACTCAGAGGCAACAAATACATTAGTTCTGGACCTGTCATCCCGAAAAACCTATGGAAATGTTTATTAATTGCTTTTTTTTGCCATTAAAACTTTCTTGGAGTATGTTACAACAAATGTAAAAAACGTTTTCCTCTTAAGAACAATTAATCATAAGGTTCTTTGTATTTTGTTATGTATTGATTTATTGTACTTTTATATTATGTGCAAAGCACAATTTTTTGTTAAAAATGTATAGTTAATTTAATCTCTCAAAAATATTCAAACTTTAAAAAAGTTGTGGTTTAGAGTTTGAAACAATAGTTAAAAATAATTTACAAGCAAATATATTTTTTATAAATAAAAATTGTATACTTCAGTTGTATTTTGTGATATTGATGGTATTTGAATAAAAAATGTTATAATAAGTTTTGATTGCTTTATTACAAAGGAGGGAAACCAAATAAACCTAGATGACATCTTTTGCTTCTTTTAACCAAAGATATGTGATAACAAAACAAACAACATTAATCAGGGGGACGCTGAATTTTTATTTCAGGATCAGTGTTGCCTGAGTGAAAATTTAAAAACGTACGTTTTCATGTCCCTGGCCTTTTACTTCGTAGATACTGGATTTGTAGTTTATTATTATGTGTTTTAATATTTTTTGGGACGGGGGCAACATGTTACACACATTTATTTAGTTTTAAATAGGTTCTAGGTATTTTTTTCGTATTTTTAAAGTCTCAAAATTCACGACCATGACGTGTCCCTAAGGTACATTTTCCAACTTTCACGCTGTTTTTAGACTAATTATTCATGCCGAAATATATAAAGTCATATTTTTATGTTGTCAATGGTTATTAAACTTACAAAAAAGGAGTATATTATAATTTTATTGTCATTGCAGACTGACTACCATGACAAAATAAGTCTGTCCCTCGATTTGGCGTCACGACCATTTGGGAAAATTTTTCAACTTTGGAGCACGACAGTGGCAAGCCTGGCGTCGATGGAGTCAGTTGGTTTTAGAGACTAGTTCGGGGTGTACGTCAGGATTGTAGTGCCGGTCGTTTTGAGTTGAAAGGAGGAATTACAAGATTAATAAAGGAAAGATTGTGTTTTTTGTAATTTTGGTGTGTCCATGACCGTCCGTAGTCATTCGATGAAGTAGACATGGTGTTAATTTTTGTTTATAAGATATTTCAATTGCTAGATCAACCTAGAAGTCCACTTTGTATCCTCGAACATGAGGTGCAGTGCTACCGCCAGAACAGAGCCAAATAACACGTAATTTCACGACCAAATTTTCACGACCATCGCGGTTTTTTTCACGACCAATCCAGCCTTATGGATTATAGTTAGTTTGGTCGTGACAATAACTTTAATATAATTGTAAATTGAACAGTTTAGTTCAATTGAAACACATAGTTTTATTATAACTAACAGTATAATTGAAGGATTGTTTGGAAAGATTTAGATTATTCCAGACAATTCACGACCGTACCGCTTGTCCCTGACCATCACGTTTATGATTTCTATCATAAAAATTTCAAAAATTAAAATATCGTCATATTTCAATGTTTTATACACAAAAGAAGCACACCTCTATACAAACATAACGATTTTTCGGGTCTCAGGTAAGTTTTTTCGGAGTTATACAAACTTAAAAAGATTTTATTGGCTTTTTTCTATTTTATGAGTTTTTTAAATTTTTTTCTAGAAAGACCAAATATACCAAAAGCTCAGTGACCTTTTTATTGTATAATGGTCATAAAAGTAAATTAGTTTAAAGCAAAACATAGTTATAAAAACAATATTAACTATTTTTAATATTCATTTAAACGTCCGTTATGGTCGTGACAGGATTTTGTGTTTTTCTACTAAAGATGCTCTTTAAAAAGAAAACTACCAAAGATATTGCGTTACCATGGACATTTTATGAAACTTAAAATGTTAATGAAATAAAAATAATAATAAAAGTTTTGAAAAAAGGGGAAAAAAATTTGCAAAGTGCTTTTCCTGAAAACGTACGTTTTTAAATTTTCACTCGCCTACAGTATTATTTTGAGGCTTCTGATTGGCTGAGGGAACATTATTACAGCGACGATACGATTGGTGCCAACGGCCTCGGTGGTGTAGTGGATAGAGTGCTGGGCTGATGATCCGAAGGACCCGGGTTCGAATCCCACCCGTAGCACTCTATTTTTTGTACTGGATTTTTTTCATTATCAACAAGTTTGGTTGGTTTGGTTAGGTTATGACGGTTTAATTTTATAATTAAAACATTATGAAATTGAATTTGACCCATTTATAGTTTTATTTTATGAACAGAAATATTTTTTCTGTTAAGCCTTCATTTGATTTTTCATTATTAGCAAGTCTAGTTAGTTTGGTTAGGTTATGATAGTTAAATTTTAGAATAAAAAATAGGATTTGAGGCATTTATAATTTTATTTTATGAACAGAACTATTTTTTTCGATCAATAAACCTTCATCATTAGATTTTTTCATTGTCAGCACGTTTGGTTGGTTTGGTTAGGTTATGACAGTTTAATTTCATAATTAAAAATATAAAATTGAATTTGAGGCATTTATAATTTTATTCTATGAACAAAAATAATTTTTCAATTACTAAACCTTCGTTATAGTCAATCAGAAGCCTCTAAATGACATTGTTGGCAAAATTAATCCTGAAAAACAAATTGTGCCAGGGGGACACAGGACTCCAATGGTAGTCTGAGATCACTCAGCTGTTAAGGTGATTGGGTAAAAAATCTTCTCTCATTTTCTTTCTGTTTTGTTTTTGCCCTAAGACTATGCCTCTTGGAAGAATATGGAGAGGTTTTAGCTCAGAGTAATAAAACAAAATTTTGTTTTATTACTCTGAGGTTTTAGACATGCCCTCTGACCAAATGTCAATTAGGTTCTTCTTATTCTCAGTGTTCTATCCTTCTATTAAGTCAAATCTGCCATCTGAGGGAATAGTCTTGGCCACATGGATCTGGAAATGTACACTGACACTGACATTTCCAAGGAGATGAAAGGTGGCATGAGAGCTGACATAATAGTCCAGTCAAGGAATGAGGTAGAGTGCGTGAGCAGGTAACTAAGTGATATTCTTTCGCTTCAGAAACTTGTTCAGAGGGCTTAGGGTGTTAACATACCAAAAGTCCTGACTCCTAGGTGGTGAGCCAAAAACTATTAACTTTTTGTATTCTGGTACTAAATTATAAAATTGAAGAAAATTAAATTTTCCACAAGAAAAATAGGCCTATATAATGTGTTTATTTTGGTTAAACAGATTACGAGTTATTACTTTTAATTAATATCTTATTAAAATACTCCTTCAATAAGAAATACATCTAAAATAGTATGCAAAAGGGGGTGAATCCTATCCGCCCAAAGGAAATATAACCGATATTCTGGAAATCTTATTCATAAAAATTGATCCAAAATTAAGGCGAGGGCGAGGTAACAAAAATGTTGTATTTTGGTGTTTTTTATTAAGAAATATAAAAAGCCCTCAAATCATCCTGTTTCTAAACGCTCACCCTCGCTTTAATTTTTGACCAAATCTTATGATTTAAGTGTCAAATTGCTGGAAATTTTACCAAGATTTCCAGAATATCGGTTATATTTCCTTTGGGGGGATAGGATTTGCCCCATTTTTCATACTAATTTACATGTATTTCTTATGGAAGGAGTAAACCATTAATTAAATTAGTAATAACTCGTAAATTGTAACCAATTTAAACACATTAAATACTTTTCTTGTAGAAAATTTAATCTTCCTAAATTTTACAATTTAGTATAGTATACAAAAAGTTGATAGTTTTTGAGATATAATCGAAAAATCCAAAATGCGTTACCTTTACCCCCCCCCCCTTCTCCTCTCCACCAAGGAGTCAGGACTTTTGGTATGTTAACACCCTTAGCCCCCTGAACAAGTTTCTGAAGGAATCGCTTAGTTACCTGCTCACGCACTCTACCTCATTCCTTGACTGGACTATTATGTCAGCTCTCATGCCACCTTTCATCTCCTTGGAAATGTCAGTGTCAGTGTACATTTCCAGATCCATGTGGCCAAGACTATTCCCTCAGATGGCAGATTTTACTGAATAGAAGGATAGAACACCTAAGAAGAAACTAATTGACATTTTGGTTTGACATTTCTGTGGTTTTTGAGATATAATCGAAAACCCCAAAATGCGTACCTTTACCCTCCCCCCTACTCCTCTCCACCACCCTGGCTCACCACCAAAGGAGTCAGGACTTTTGGTATGTTAACACCCTTAGCCCCCTGAACAAGTTTCTGAAGGAATCGCTTAGTTACCTGATCACACACTCCTACACCTACACCCACTGCTTTTGGATCATTAATTGACTGGGCTGTAATGAGCACTGCATGGGATGTTTTGCTTCAGAATAACCAAAAGTCAATGATATTAGTTAAATAAAATACTTTTCATACAGTTGACTCACAAAGAGGGCTTCCTTGCACTGATTGTAGCACACAAAAGTTGCTATAATGGCTGCATTTACTTACTTTTCCCACACAAATTTTTTGCCACACTCCACATAAAAAATAAAGTCTTTAGTAGGGCCTATTTGGTTATGTAAGACTTATTTATTCTGTTTTTAAGTTTTTATTATTGTATTTAGTGTGTTTAAACCCCCAATTTTGGATAAGTCAATTTGATTTAAACAATTTAAAAATAAACAAATTATTGTCTGGTCAGGTAAAAAAAAAAAAAAATTAAAAAAGGACATGAAAAAATATTATTGAATACAACTTTTAAATCAGTGCAAGTATAAGATTTACGATCTGTGTTTCAAGAAGTAAAATCATTGGTCTAACATGGTCTAAAATCAAAGGTGCTGTCGATTATGAAGAAGGAAATGTATTTTCCACTTCGAGTGGCAACACTGCCCGTGCCGAATGCACTTTGTAGTATAAGAAAAAAACTGTGTTAGTGTCTGCAGCTGCAGCTGCTGTCAAGTCAGCTGTAGGAGTGTCTAATCGATTTCTAACCTTACCTCTTCTACTAAGTGCAAAGTCTAATAATTATATTTTTTTAGATTAAGTATTTATTTAAGATTATGAAGCTCATAAAAAATAAAAAATAATCATAACTTACAATTACAACTTTCAGTGCTTTCAAATTTGTAGAGGTTAAGTTAGGCCTGTATATTAAGGGTTTGGTAATATGCGTACTAATAACTCAGATGGAAATATAAATGAAAATTGTCAATTGGCTTCTTACAAATCCAAGCATGAGGTAAGGCACTTAATTGAATAGCCTAAGTTACAATGACAGGTTGAATAAGTTATTTCTATGAAAGAGGCCTAATTTAAGTAGGCCTAGGCCTATTAGTATGGATTAGACAATCCAATTTTTTCAGCTATCTTTACAGCTTTTAATGTGATGAGAATGGTTTACCTAACAGTTAAAATGGAAACTAAGGCCTTTCATATACATGTTGATCATTCATTGTTTAAGACTGCATTATTCTCAATCTTTCAATATTCTATCAATATCAGCATGTCAACCCTGTAAAAATGGTGTAGGCCTAACCGTAAAATAAATAAATAAATGCTGCAGCCTCCTTCCCTTTGGGGTAGGTCTAAAAAAGTAGACTTAGCCTACAAAATTTAAAGACGATGAAGGAGACATGGCTTGCTTAAAATGTTCCGGAAGAGCCGGGTTTGTAATTTTTATCGAACTTGATTCTAACATCCAAAAATTGGGTAGGCCTACAACTCCTCAAGGATAGGATAAATTAATCGGCTGCACTTTAGTTATCTGTCCCACACTCATTAACACATTCACTGCTAATGATATGTAATACTTTTATAAATGGCTAAAAAACATAAACATTAACATGATCATGTTAATTGAGTGACAATATATCTTTAATTAAATACATTTTATATTATAAATTGTGGATTAAAATATATTATGTAATTATATACTTTATGTATTATATATCTGCTAATATACTTATGACGCACAAGTGCGTCATTAGCAGTGAACGTGTTAAGAATGAATATATTTCGATCATTACATTCAATATGTAAAGTTTGGGTAAGATAGTTAGGTTGAACCTGTACCCTATAACCGAATGAAATAGCAAAATCGATATATGGAATAATCTAAATATATCAATAGCCTATTTTTCATCGGACGGGTGTAAGTAGGAGAGATACTAAAGTGCAGCCAATTAGTCGACAAAATGAAAGTTTTCCATTTTTCCTTGTTTATTTTATTTCACCAAGGGAAACAACAGTAATTTGTCAACTCAGGATATTATTTAAAATCATAATGTAGGTAGCCTAACAAAATAAATATACTATATTAACGTGATGTCTGTGATCGATAATTAGTGATTTCTATGTTAAGTTATAACTCAGCAGATCGCCCCAGAATGCAAATTTTCAATCTCCCCCCACCCAATGAGATTAAATTCCAAAGCAGTCCCCCCCCCCCTTTCAACTGGACGAAACCTGCACATACTTCAGTCCTAAGTTTAGCTAAGTACCGGTAACTGTTTTTATAAATTTTCCTCGCAACATTTTCTCAGCAATATCTTGCCATCCCTTCTCATCCCATTGTAAGTTTTGAAGCTAGTTTTTGTGTTTAGTTCATGTACGTAGGCACTGATCGCAAGTGTAGACAAAATTTTGTTTCTTTTATTTTTGGGCTATTTTGATGATTGTGCTTTACTAGGATGATTGGTTATAACTAGGAGACCAGTTATATTTGATTATTAGATTGTTTTGTTTTGTTGAACGAGGTTTTAAATTACTGAAGTACCTAACAAGAAACAAATTGTAAACACAACCCCTTCAGTGCAACGCACAGAACAAACAATAAAGTTGGCTTCAGCTGTTCCATAAGGATGAGAAATCTACTAATGGAGTGTGTTTAAAGCTGGGTTTTCCTAGACGCGGAGTCGGCCAGCGGAGAGCGGACAACGGAGAGCGGACTCAGCTTGTCTTAGGTAATTTAATGTTACTGTTTTCCTAGCAGCGGAGCGGAATGCCATGTTAATTTCAATTCCGCTCTCCGTTGTCCGCTCTCCGCTGGCCGACTCCGCGTCTAGGAAAACCCAGCTTTAACATCCGTAATGGTTCTATTTATTAAAAGATCTCAACATCACAACAATAAGTTAACTGAGTTTTGTTATCAAGTTTAGTGTTAAGTTAAGACCTGTTTGTTTATTTTTTTGTTGACATTATTGTGTTGACGTGCATCGTTACTTATTAAGTACAGTACTACAATATGTCCTAAGCCCAGAAGCAATTTTCAGTAAACAAATAGAAATAAGTCATAAGTTATATCACAGACAACCACAATAGTCTATGGTTATATTAAACACTGGCCTATTGTGAAAATGTCAATATATGCCATGGTGTGATACTGATCAAAAGCTAGCTTGGTTTTGCTGTTTACAAAATAAGTACGGTAGTTTGTATCTTTGAAGCAGTATCACTGTGTATTCCCAAACTTTCCACGGTTTGCAACAATTTATCACAGTAATTACCTACCGTTTCTTTTTTTATCAAAGAAAAATACCGGCACCCCTAGTTTATGAAAAAGACACTTTTTTGAGTTAAGACTAAACAACTAATTGTGATTTTTATTTTCAGAATGATGATACCCCTGTAAAAAATCCTGAAGAGATTGCTGAAGGTAAACAGAAACTGCAAAGCTGGATCAACAAACATATGAAGATTGAAATGACCGATGGTAGAATTCTTATTGGGATGTTTTTGTGCACAGACAGAGATGGAAATGTAATTTTGGGATCTTGCAGCGAGTACCTTAACCCTGAAGGTAATACTAGTATCTTTTATTCTAAATTCCTTTTCAGATCCCTTGTTTTTATTCAATTTATTTTACATTTTCGTATTCCATTTGGTTCAATCTTAGACTGTGACTGTACCCTATTATTTATCTACAGTAGGCCTAAAGGTTTGAGGTTCCTTTTAGCCTTTCGTTTGCATGGGTGTCCAACATGAAATAAAGGGTTGATTGGTTCAAAGGATCGAAAGGTAACTGATAACACCTAAGCGATGTCTTTAGAATGTTACTAAACAAAATCACTGCCATGGTTTACCACCAAAAACAATTTGGGCAACAAACTCAATAATTTAGGCTACTTGCAAAAATATTGTCAAATACTGTCTCGAGAGGCTATAGCCTAGTGATCAACTTCAAATGTGAATATCATTCGATCAGTTCCAGACATGACTGATCCTGTAGCCTACTAAGATGCCATTTGTCCTTGGGCGATCAATGAGATAGGTACTGTAATGAAAGGTCAGGGCTGTCACGTGGTTTATTGGGGCCCATGACGGGATGTTTGGCAGGTGCCCTCCTCCCCCTTAAACATACAATGAGCGATGCTCATGGCGGGTTACGATGCTTTCTGAGACATCATCTGCACTGGGCAAATCACTATCGTCCAAAAACCTAAATATATCCATCGGAAATATAGTCATTGTCCTCCACAATCACGGTAAAAACGAAATTGTCTTCTGCAGTCGTATGGATATCATCATCATCATTGTCACCCACAATTAGGACGAAATCAAGATTATTTCTTGGTAGTGTGATCATTCTCACTGTCTTCCATGATTGCCTCAATATCCTGAATATTTTTGGCAGTAACAGAGATATAAGTTAGCCATCGTCCTCCGTAATCGCAACAAAAACAAGATGAATTCCATCGGTATTGTGGACATTATTATCGCCCTCCGTGATTGCAGCGAAATTGAGATAATCTCCTGAGGTCATATATTCCATCATTATCGTCTCATGTGATTGCGACAAAATCCTAAATATATCCATCGGTAACAGAAATTCAGTCATCGTCCTCCACGATTACAGTATAATCAAGATTATTCAGGGGTCCTGAAGACATCATCATCTTCCGCAATGCCGGTTTAATCCTAAGTGTTTTGTGCAGTAACAAAAGTAGCATAGTCTATCCTCATCAATCGTCATCCTCTGTGATGCGGATAAATGGATTATCATCTTGATTATCCACCACGGTCTCGGAAACATGATCATTGTCTACGTTGCAACTGTAAAAGCTCAGCTTGAGCTTGATTTTCTGACTTGGTGTTCGATTCCTCAAGCTTTTAGGCTAGGCTAAAAAAATTGAGCATCGCGATACATCTAACATAATTTTTTTCTAATATTTTCTACTACTTTAGCCGTGGCACTTGCCGGCGCTCCCCAAAGCCACTGCTTGCCCGCAGGGCCCAGGATGGTTTTCCGGTCGTCCCACCCACGCAACAGCCCTGCAAAAGGTCAACATTTCTTAAGTAGTTACCGGTACAAGATCCCTTTCAAAAAACATGAAAGTACCATTGACGTCTTATGCCGTAGAGAAACATAAAAAACCTTTAGTTGAGAATACTTCTGGGAGAATGTTTTAAAAAACCAATTGCTTTTGTAGGCCTATTGTAAGTTAAATGTGATTCTCTTAAGCTACTAATCATCGTTATTGTTTGCTTCAGGTATTATGCACATCTGAAGGAGATTAATGATGATTGGATGCTTTTGAGAATCATAAAAATGTCTCGTATCCAAAGTGCCAGATGGGCATTCAACTGCCGGGACTGGTCACCATCGGAATATGATGTTCAACTTTTAGCAAGTGGTCTTGATGCTGAAGACAAAGAACAAGTAGGAAAGTTTATTTTTCAAAAAGATGCCAAATCGGCAATCATTGGACGATTTTTGACCAAGAAGTTTATATGTGATGCTACAGGTATTCCGTGGAAAAAAGTCAAGATTTTCCGTGATACTGAGCATAAAAAGCCATACTTTCCACAGGAACTTTACCCGTCCTGCAGAGTACAGTTTAATATTTCGCACAGTGGTGATTTTGTTGTTTTAGCTGGGGAAATGGGTGATGTAAAAGTGGGGGTGGACGTAATGAAAGTAGAAAAACAGAGGACAACGACTGTTCCAGAATTTTTCCGATTGATGAACAAACAGTTTGCAGCTGAAGAGTGGAGTGTGGTGAAATCCCAATACACTGAATGTGAGCAGATGGCAATGTTTTATCGGTTTTGGTGTTTGAAGGAGAGCTACACAAAAGCAACTGGGACAGGCATCACAGTTGACCTTCAAAAGATATGTTTTAAACTGAAAAACCTCCGTTTGGCTGTTAATTCGGTTGTGGGTGACACACAAGTTTTTGTTGAAGGCCAAAAACAAGAAGGGTGGCTGTTTCAAGAGACTATGATCAGCAACAACCACATTGCTTCCGTGGCTATTTTTAGCCCAAAGGGGTGTTCAGACTTTCAATCTAAAGGAGAACATTTCAGTGTTCTTAGCTTTGATGAGTTAATATCCCAGTACGATCAAATATCAGATATTGATATTGATTTCAGTAAAAGGTTTTTGTCCAAGAAGATAAAACCGTGATTTATTTTAGACTACTATTATAGTAGATGGTTGGAATAAATGGTCAATCTTTATCGCTTTTGCTGTTGTATACAAGTTACCTTTTTTCCAAAATGTTTTTTTTTCTTTCAAATTAATGTCTGACTCTTGGGCAGTAAAATGTCTAGAGGAGGTTCGAGAAAACCATGTGCCTCTTGCCAGTGCCGGATTTAGGGTAGATCTATTTGGGGCCCTAGACCAAATCAACCTGAGCCATTCTTTTTAAGTGAAACTTCCCCTTAACCACAACAAAATTATGAACATCTCCTACAATCACATGGGCAAATCAATATTATCATTTGTAATTGCGGATGGATTGTGAAAAACCCCAGCAATCAAGTATCTTATAAATTTTATCTTATCCAGAATTTAGATAAAAACATTTTTTGTAAATTTAATTTAAACAGTAATGCAACTTCTTCTAGGGTGAAATAACATTGCCAGCCCCTACATACAGTTACATAAACCCTCTTTTAACCGACCCTCAGGTGACCTAGCTTGATTCGGTTTAGTTAAAACAGAAAATATTTTAAGCATGTAAAATAGTTTTAAAATAAATTTTAGTTATGTTGTAGGAATGGCAATCTTAGCTAGACATATATTACTGGACTAAAACTCTATGAATCTTTAAACTCTAAACCATTTGTAAAATAAGGGGCGTTTTGAAGTAAGGGTTTTTTTTAGCGAATTTCCCATATAGGGAATAAGCTATTACCTTAGTACTCATGGTAAGACATGGACCCGCGACTGTTTTACTTTTTCGTTTTGAGGTCCCCAGAGGCCAAAAACACCCTCCGTTCAAATTCATATACATTATATACGGTATATATAAATATGTGACATGTGTCCCTTAGCGCGATAACTGGAGCAAAAATGATCCGATTTTGATGAAATTTGGTAGAAACGTGGTTGGTTTTCCCCATTTTTGTCTCTAAAAACATAAAATTTCACAATTTCTTTCCAAACTATTTTGTAGAGCTTAAAAAAAGAAATCATATTGTATATTGAAGTGTTATTGTATGCCTAACGGTTACGGAGATAATTAAAAAACTTTAAATTTAAAATTCCCATGTTATTCTTATGGAGAATAAATAAACTGTTGTAGTTTGCTTGTATAGATATCTATCTATCTTCTATATACAGGGTGATCAACTCAAGGAGGCCACCATTGGGATATCGGAAACGATAAGAATTAGAGAAAATTTTAAATATGATTTTATGTTTTTTGAAATTCAGCCGCCATTTTTCAAAATGGCGGGCAACTTTGAAATTTCTTATGGAACACCTATATTTTACCCTATATTATATGTTTTCGGATAGAACATGCAATTTAAAAACATTTTTATTCTTGACATTTTTTTGATAAACCCACTCGTTTAGGGGTTACAGCACTTACAGCCTACGGAAAAATGACTTCCGGTGTACATTTTACATCATGTAGCTCCTAAACAAGTAGGTTTATAGCGAAAATGCGAAGAGTAAATAAGTCAAATACGGTAAGTCTTAAAATTGCATCCACATTCCATAAAGAACATAAAATACACAGTTTTCCACTTACCAAGTTTACCGCCATTTTTAAAATCATAGAATTTATATTTTTTACGAATTTTATGGTGTTTTTGGAATGTGGATGCAATTTTAAGACTCATTTGACCTATTTACTCTTCGCATTTTCGCTATAAACCTACTTGATTAGGAGCTACATGATGTAAAATGTACACCGGAAGTCATTTTTCCATAGGCTGTAACTCCTAAACGAGTGGGTTTATTGAAAAAATGTCAAGAATAAAAAAGTTTTTAAATTGCATGTTCTATCTGAAAACATGATAAAATATAGGGTGTTCCATAAGAAATTTCAAAGTTGACCGCCATTTTGAAAAATGACGGCTGAATTTCAAAAATATAAAATCATATTTTTAACTGCCACAAAAAATAAAGGAATGTCCCCCATTTAAAGTTTTCTCTAATTCTTACCGTTTCCGATATCCCAATGGTGGCCTCCTTGAGTTGATCACCCTGTATATAGAATCCAATGTATGTTTGTTTGTCCTTTATGGACTCCAAAACCGCTTGACGGATTGTAATGAAACTTTCAGAAGTTATTAAGCATTATTCAAGGATGGTTGTTTGTGTGAAGTCTGGTGCAGATCCTTCAAAAGGGCTCCGTCCCAGTGGATCTGGAGTTTCCCATGTTAACCTTATGAGTACTCATATTTAAATGGAATTAAAGAATCTTAACAGCTGGTTCAACTAAACAATTTGATTCTGTGATGTTCAATAGCATTAAAAAGTTAATAGGTTTACCAACAGGGTGCAGCACTATATATATTTTTTTTTATTTATGAGAACAGCTAATTAGCAACCAAAAGGTGAGTGAGTGTAGCGAACGAACTTCAACCTGGAGGCGAGTTAGCGTAGCGAATGAGCTAACCTGAAGGCAAGTGAGCGCAGCGAATGAGCTCCAACCTAAAGGTGAGTGAGCGTAGCGAAGGAACTACAACCAGGACGTGATTGAGCCTTGCGAACGAGCTCATCTTGAAAACAAACGAGCATTTGACATAAAACCACAATAGGACAGGACGACATCTGTCGGGCCAGCTAGTATTTTAATAAAATTTGGCAATTTTGTTTATTTCATACTAAGCTATCAACATTTAAATAAAAAAACACACCTCAATAGCTTCCCTGTAGCAGCAAACCTAGGTACTCATTAAAATTAATGTAATTTAAATAGGAAAAAAATCTAAACATTTTCAGGGAATATTGTAGAAATCCTACCAGGGTTAGAGTTAGAGGTAACTGTATAATTACATTTTGGGGCAATTCGTAGGTTTAACATAAAGTAAAATTCAAACCTCGGCATATCTACCTCTTAGTTTTTAGCGGATTTCGAGAACCCGCTAAAAGTTATCGTCCTACAGCCCTACTAAGGAGTCCCATTGCTACTGTAGAAACTGGTGTACTGAATCTGTCACCTATCCTAGCACCCTAGCTGTTCAAGCTGATTTCAGGTCTGGGATTGCTGTGACCAGAGTTTTGCCCTCACATAATTTGTTGAAGGAGCTTTTTCTTGTATTGTAGAAGCCATTTGTTGACAGGCTTCATGATACTCAACTAAGCAACTGAGACAAAACATAACCTAGTCAAATGGAACTAAAAACACACCCTTTCCTTTGTTGTCACAATCAGCAGTTTGAGATCGCGGAAACAGACGTAGTAACCTTTAGTTTTGCACTATTTTGTTTTAATAACACTAAACATAAAAACGTAATTGTATTTCTCTAGTTAAAATGAATTGATTGTTGCAGTATGTGGATTCTCTGATGAACCAAGACTTCTTGGACTTGTGATGGTTCCTGGTCGTCACATTGTAAACATTCATTTTGATAGTCAGCCATCAGAAAAAGACGTCACATAAACCTCGATCAGAAAACACAATCCAGCTTGACGGTTTTTTATCATTTAAATTGTTGAATCATTGTGTAAATCATTTCTGGAGTCATATTACAAACCAGTACATTAAAAACACGTTTATTTCTTTATCCTTTCACTATGTACAAGACATCTATTGATACAATGTTTACATACTATGAATACATGTCTGTTTGAAAATTGCTAATACGCTTTTATAAATTGTGGTACTTTCCTAAATATTGTACAATCTTAAGCTGTAGTTTACATGAATAAATTAAACTGTTGGGAAAGCAAGATTATTTTAGTTGGTTTTATATATTACAGTTGTTTTCAAAAAAATGGTCAGCAAATAATATCTCAGATAATTTAAGTTAGGCTACTTGTCAATAAAGGCTATATTTATTTTCAAAGAGAGTTATCTTACAACTCTGTAGGTACTAAATTGATAACTTTATATGAAAAAATATCTGAAATTTACAATTTTTATGACTAAAATAAATTTTAAATTCTGTTCAGTTGAAAATCTAAGTAAAAATGTGAAAAGGGTATTTCTTAAAGGTAAATTTACAAATGTATTTTTTCTACAATCGCCTGTTTTCATAGTTAATTCTAAAATTGAAATTGCATCCATTAAATTAATCTCATGTAAACTTTTTATCATTCAGTTGCCCTATCATTTTCAAGTCCAATTTTATCAAAGAATTGGGTTTAGGAACATTATAAGTGACCTCCATTTTTTTTAATATACAGATACACATTCATTCAAAATATATTAGGATTATGCATACAGAAGGTTTATCAAAAGGTAACAAAGTACAGTAGATCTAATTAGTTATTTGCAATTTGTTTTTGCAATGAATAATATTGTAATTCTGAGATAAATAAATAAATTTGCAGGGTGTCCCTCAAAGAGGTTGATATGTTTGAAATTAAAATACCAAACTACAGACGTATCAAACTTAATTAATGATATAACATTGTCTTATCTTTTAAACAACCTTAATTTTGTTTAACTAAGTAAAATCTAAAGTAACAAGAACCGAAGTAATTTTTTCAAATAAAATGACCTGAACGAAAACACATTGTGGAACACGCTGTATATTAAAATGTAATGTGCTTTAAAAATATACTTATACAAAGGTATCCTGTAAGTTGTTTGGGTGTTGTTATCTAAACTGTTAAATGTCTTATTGATTTTGTAATCTTATAGAATCAAATTACTTCCATTATGCATTTCAAGGGAGGGAATTTTTCAATTTATAGAAAGTTCTCCTCAATTAAGAGATATATCTCTTTTTCTAAGCTGTTAGTAATCAGCTTGATATGAACCAGGCCTTAAAAAAGAGATCTAACCACTGGACCCGTCTATTATTTCCTATGAATGTTTTCTTTTCAAAATAAAAAACCTGCAAGAAAATGTAAATCTTTGACCAGTTTTAAAAATCTTTTTTTTATTCTATAAACATTACTATGTCTTGATAAGGCTCACAAATTGCAAACAAACTTCAGATCACAATACATAGAACATACATACAATACAAAGATATACTTATCACACATTTTGTTTCTTTTATGTACATAATATCCAACCTCTATTCTCTTCCTCAAAAGACAAAATAAT